TTCATTCTAAACATATACCGTTCGGCATTGCTTATTATTTATAGTGTTCATATAATGATCCTTTATCACGATTTAAGTGCTATAGGGGCAATGATTCCATACATTTGTTAAGGAACACTATAGAATTGCACAGTGAGCTAATGAAATCATCAATAACATAATTATTTGTATGGAAAATTTAACTCCTAGTCAGTTTCAACATTTTCTAAATGCGAAAATTTATCACATTTGTCTGAAACTATTTACAGAATTTTACAAGGTTGACATCATAACCACTTTACAGGTAAATATCAAAGACCATCACATTCGGAATGTAATCTAAAGTACACCGATTCTCATATGACACCTGTTGTCTACCACAACTGATCGGGTTATGATTCACATTTCATTATTAGAACATTGGTTACTACAATTCTTGGTCGTGCAAGTCGAGGTGCAAGTATACCTACTAATTTACGTAAGCTTTGTGGGAAGAGGGTCTTTTGGTAAAATTGAACATGAATCGCAATCCAATATATCACCAACCCCTTTCAAATAGTCTTCTAGGACTAATATATTCATAACTAATGATTGGAACCCCACCATGCAGCATAAACATCTTTCATTCAGCTTCGTGGCATATAGATGAAAATTACATTACAGAATTGCGCACTATGAAATTGCTGTATATGTTTTTTCCGAAGAATTAACTATGAAATTATTAAAACCACCTTTCAAGTAGTTAATTATGTTCCGAAATTCACTTTTGAACTTGCTGATTGTATACTAAAAACCAGAACATTCCAATACGGGAGGTGGCGATCATAGAAAAATGTATTTTTAAACAACACTTAACGTTCGTTTCGTTGGTCAGCTTCTGCTCAATTAACAAAATTGCCAAGTTGGTTCAGATAAAGCAACAACTTTGTTTCAAATGTTTCAAATTACTTACATAGTTAATAGTATATTATATACCGCGGGACTGAAGTAGTACTTTTAATCCCGAAGGTAAAGTTTATGGCCCGACCGAAGGGAGGGCCATAATTTACCTGAGGGATTAAGACCACTACTTCAGTCGCAAGGTATATACGATATTTTTCGTACTTCCGAAACTGAAACACTTAATCTGTATGGAGTTAGAGAACGCGTTTTTTCAAAAAATCGCTGCTCAACAAGTTACCATAGGAACTGTCATTGCCAGTGTCATAATTTTGATGGTGGGTGACAAAGGTGTATTTGATATTGATAAAAAGCAGCCAAAGTAGGTAAAGAATTGATACCACCGAAATCCAAAAAACTGTATGAACAGCAGTACGATGCGTTTAAGAAGTAGTGGCGCATACAAAATGTGGAACAACCTACTGAAATTGTTTTGTTAGTAATTTCATCCTTCCGGGATTTTCGCAAAATTTAATCCCGGCGGTACAAAAAGTGACACTTCAGTACTTGCCATAATGGAGTGAAGTTGTCACTTTAGTCTCGGAAGTACGAAAAAAATATTATTATAAGGAAAAACATCTTCACAAGATTACTACGATTTTTAGCTCATGTTGAACTTTAATAAGTCTGTGTTTAAATAACTATACTCAAACCTTTTGTTTTTATAGTCTATGCATTGGAGCACGCCAAAGACCAAGGATCGTATGTTACCAGATTCAGGTGGATCTTCTGGCCCATCCAGTTTGGGAACCGGCATAAGTCCCGCGCATCGTCGAGCTTCTGAAGGGGGTGCTAATTTACATTACGGCGGCCGAACCTCCGCATGGGGTAATGAAGCGCCAAGTGAGATCGTTAACAAGTTCAGAAATTACGAAATTTAATTCACCTCCTTTAGTCAATTATACTATAACTACACGTCCATTTTGTCTAAATGTGTGTACCCGTATTTATATTAAGTGGTCTTATACTACCTAATTCTTGTTTATATAAATTCATTTATTGTATTTTTCTAAAGAAAAATACCGTTAAACAATGCAGGGTCGAAGTGGACCACATATATGAATAGATGATACAAATGGTAATTATGCCTACTTATAAGAAATTAACAAAATTGAAATTTATCATATTATTATTATATGAATATTACAAGAATTGGAAAGATAATATACTTTTATATTGTTCTGTTTTGTAGTACCTATCTACAACTATATTTATTGCGTTGGATAATGTTTAAGTAGTTTCTAGTTGTTCCCCCCTCTGATAAATGTTAATTTGTTAGCTTAAATGGTATTGGTCTTCTGTGTTAAAATAATATACTTAGGGTACCTAATCACTAATTTTAAGAAAAATGATTACTACTATAAATGTGATATTAGTTTTCATACCTAACAAGTATTTGGAAGATATAGGTTAGTCAGAATAGAGGATTTAGGTAGGTCTACCTAGAATGGGAAGAACACAGGTTACGCATTTTTATCGCACTAGCTTTTACCAAAACGTATTAATTTCATTTCTTTATTACAATAGCGTTAAAAAGATTTTGTTTAATTGTTGTGAGTACCTATTCAGTGTTACTGTTGTGTTTATTGTCTTTGTCCTAGCCACTAAGGTATAGCGATTGTAATATGTTATATGATTATTGTGTATTAACGTATAAGTGCTAGAGAAATTTATAATTTATGTTAAAAAGAGTAGCAATCGTAATAGATCGAGTTTTAATCAATTAATGTTATATAAATGTAGCGTTCTAATATTGTGGCCGTGAACACATCATATCTGTAACGTGAAGAAATAAATTATATCTTCCTTAATCAGATTTTTTTAAAGTTGGTTTTCAATTAACCAAGTAATAAAGTTACCTCCTTGCTTCCTAAAAATGGATGTGAATTTGCAGTTCTTTTGGAAGTCATTTCCCTAACAATCAGAAAGGTTTTTTTAAATTAATTAATTGGTTTATTTACTTATTTGAATAGTCTTTAGAGGGAAGTACCAAAATTGAGAGTTTTTTCTCGACTATCCAATATAGGAGAAGGTACTGAACCTGAATTTCAAGTTTGTTGCCTTGCAGCACAGATTTAGAGTATTTAAATCTGTGCTTGCAGCATGCATGCGTGATGCGGCCTGCTTCACAGCAGTAAACGCAATCTTTCCACTTTTTTTAGTTTAGTAGACAATGTGCTTTTCGAAGGTCTACAATCTAGCCTACAACATTTAAATCGATAACATTTCCTATAAAATACATCAGCCGCGTTGGTTTTCCGATAAGCGGTACGGTGCTAGAGCGCACTGAAAACCACAATTTTTTTCGTTCGTAAAAAAATATCTACCCCTACAACGTTAATAACAGGTAGCCCAGAGTACCTTATAAGCAGTTGTTTATATACCAAGGCAAGGTATTAAGGACCACAGTTTCGTGATAGATACTTATGTTAAGGAAGGCCACTTTTTCCGTTCGTCCGTCACTTATACAGTTTTCAAGATAGGTATTTAGTTCGGATTTTTTTGCACTTATGTTTGATTCATTTGCAACAGCAGCAATGTAGAAAAATATCAATTAGAATGGCAGCAATAGGGTCTTCCTGAAAAAAAAATTGTAACTTTTTTGTGTCTTACTGTAAAGTTTATAACCTGTAATTAAACATCTCATATACAAAACTTTTTTTTCTAATTGCAACATGTCAGGAAACAACATACAATATCGTAAAACTTTCAAATTTTGTCATGCAACCGACGACATGCCGATATTGGCCGAGCGTCGCATACGTCACTACGCAAGTTGCCGATCGGGAATTATATTAGTGCATGACACTGATAGGAGTTCGATTCGACTTATTATGGCAATCTGCCATAAACTGAGTTCTGACTGGTTCGTAAAGGGGCAGTTAGATAGTCTCCCAAAGGTTGAAGTGTTAATGGTCGCCGCCTTTTTCTCGAAAAGTGAGTTTTTCCATGCCATGGAGTCAAAGCCCAGAAGCAAATTTGTTATAGTTCATAGGAAGTATAACATCCAGTTTTGTGTGTATAGTGCAAGGTATGGTGTAGGTACCTAATAAAGTATGCACCTTACGGGTTTCAACGAGAAAATTAGGATGTTGGATATGTGGAAGTGAAAATAGAGAAAAATGTGTGCACTGTAAGGGCACAGATATGCCCAGAACAGAGTTTGAAGTAAATCATATTCTGAATTGTAATTACAATATTACATATCGATGGATTTTCGTCGATATGTGACTGAAAGTAAATCGACATTATGTACTTTAATTAATTAGAATCGTCTTAACAACAATACAAATGGGATGTCAAACTCGCGGTATCACGTCGAACTTTTTTCGTATATTTTCTGTTGGGACGTTTATATACAATTTATTAGGTTCGCGATGACTTCTGCTATCACACCCAGGCACAAATGCAATAATTATTCGATGCCTTTTTCCGTAAAAACGACGTTTTCTTTCTCTGAAGCGATTGTAAGCAATGCTACGGCTGAGCGCCAACGTGCGTTGTGACGTCACAGCAACGTGGCGGTCATTCGAAGCTTTTCAAACGCCGTTCATTTTAGAATCGTGTTTGCTAATCACAACGATTTCTCTTGACAAAAAAATGAGTACCACTAATTTTTTTAATGTGCTTGGAGTTCATTTTTAAGGTTTTTGAAAAAACGCGGAAAACCCAATTGGTGATTTTCTTGATGCACTATTGCACGGTACATGAAAATCATAGTTTGATAATAATATATGAATGTGGTAATAGGTGCCCACTATTTATTGTAAAAAATAAACAGTACACAATAGGTAGGGGTTCAGCTAATAACTGCTTTCCCGCTCCATCAAAAACCACAGTTACGGGTCACTCTGTAATTGGGCGCAAACCTGTTGAGGCCCCAGAACAAAAGAGGGATAATATAAATGATAATATATATAAATAACTAAACAGTTATTGTAAGTAATCTTATAAACGGTTGGGTTTGAGAAGAATCATGTAGAATAGGTTGCATATACACTTAGGAGTTTAGAAATCAAAATGTTGGAGAATAATTGATAACATAAAATTTCGTATTTGGCGTAAACTGATATCTCGTTCATTTTTACACCTGTACTTTCCGAGAGCAACGTGATTTGCGGTACCTGTAATTAAAAGGCAACTATTAGGCCAGATTTTCCGCATTTCATTAGTACAGCTAATTAATTTAGAAACAATTAGTTAGATAATTAGTACTCATAATTAGCAACCACAGTAGTGGGATTTAAGGCTCAGAGGGAAAAGAGGTCGACTATCAGGGTAAGAACTAATCAGATTTCTTAATTATCGTAATTCTAAAATTTTAGCCTATTTATTTAAAGTCATAATCTTGAAGAAAATTGAAACGTCAAATTAAATACCTAAGGAAGTCACTAATCAAGTTATTGTTCAACTCCTTATCACCACACTGGATAGCAGCGTCGCGTAAATCAGCCCTTGTGGTTGTTGTTGTTGCTGACCCTGGGCTCATATCTGCATACCAATACCTGTTGATATCAAACAACATACAAAAGAAGCAAGAGACTATCTATACTCACCTGTGATCCATCCAATCCGTTAATTATTCGTCCATCGGTCATTATAACCATCTTAATTTTAGCAATTAGGTCGTTTCTACAGTTAGGTAGCTTCATATTTATCCATTTTACTTACCGTAATTTTTGGGCGGTAAGACTAAACGCTACTTGCCAGTTGACAGTACGGAGGGCTGCTGTATTCATCGAATAAACACATACGGCGGTAGCAAACAAAGCGCTTTGGTTGTACAACCCCTAATATTTCATTCACCACTAGCTATCTTCTAGCTATCGTCCGGCCAACAGGGTAAGTTGTCAATATTTATGTATATTATTTCTTGCTGATTTTATTGCAACTGTAGAAGGCCTTGCATTATTTACAAATTACATCCTCCGTTTCTACCTTATTACCTCCGTCCATCTTAAAACCAATATTCAGTTTATTTAACAATAATCCATCTTACATAGAGTTTGTTTTATTTTGTTGTTACAATAAATATAATTTTCGTTTATTTAACATTGAACTTGGGTACTTCATTATTACTGTTGAGTATTAGTACAGGTAATTCGTGGCTATATCACCTCTATTGGTCCGCTGGAGGCATATACCATTGGGGATAGGACCTGGCGCCCGGTTATCAACTCTAATTGAACCCATTGAGCTGAGTTAGTAGGCATTGGCTTTATTACCGAACCACAATTACCTTGGTTGTCTTTTGTTTAGCTTAGAAGGTAATAACATTGCATAATAATTGTACCAACCCAAAAACAATTTTGCCTCAGAAGAATTATCAACATTGAGTCAGTTAGGACTGTACAAATAATTAGAGCCATAGTTATTTCTAGTATCAGCTTAATGAAAAAGTAGAAATCCAAGTTGCATATTTTAAATATTTACAAAATATTTACATAAAAATGTGATTGTTTTTCTTGCCTTGTCGTTTTTCATCCACCCTGACAGTCGCTATTAGTTGCAAACATCTTGTTTAACAGTTTCCCGATATCCAAATTTGTTATATCCGGAAATGTGTATATGCTATTTCTCGAAAAAGTCTATATGTAATACTGACGAGTAGCCAATCATACTTCATAATCTAACACAGTTTAAACAATAATCCTGGATTATTTTTTTTGTGCAACTGGCCGTAATAGATATTTATTTATATACAATTCATGCATTAATATTAAAATGCAAAGACTGGGCCAATGTTTGGAATTTAATATTGGGTGAACGATTTATCACCAACACTGCTTCATTGTGGCGTTCCTATATAGATACTCCTATATTGGGCTAGTCTCGAATGAACAAATATTGGCCAAAACATGACGGCCCATCATTGGTCCAATCTCGGTCAGCATATATTGGCACCATCCTGTATTGCCAACATAGTTTCAGCATTGAAAATAGATTGTCAATATTGAGCCAACGTTCAAATGTTGAGACAAGGCAGCGCCATGCTAAATCCAACTATTTATGGTACTTTGGGAACGTTACATGTTGTCGGTATATTATTACCCCACTTTTGTCCTATTTTTCAAGTGTTGACGGAAATTTCAATTCAAAAAGATCCAGCGGCAAAACAATTTGTAAATGGGTCAAAAGTTAGCTTGAAATAGAAAAAGTTTAGCTCACGTCCTAAAACTGCTCAATATCGAGAAGCGATTCTTAATTTCAAAATCATAGAGAAAGTAAGAAAATCAGAGGTATTGAGCCTTTATTCTGGGAGATTGCTCTATCAACTCACTTCACATTTACAAATCCATACCCAGACCTGGATTCGAACCATACAAAACCCAATCCATAATGAGCTGTAAGCACACAACTTTTAACCTTAATTGGATATAGAAAACATTTCAAATCTATTCTATATCACCACCAATCAAAGCTTCTTTAGCGCATTTCCACAAAAATAAAAAATGCGCTATTGTGGCCACTTTGTCCGTCCGTCTGTCCGCCCGTCCGTGCTTTCGGCTGGATGCTACTAGTTCTTTATCTCAGGAGCTATAGTTCCACTTTCTTCGCTATTTGGGTCGTTATGGCGTCGAGGCTTGCACCAAGGATAGAATTTTTTTGCGTTTATTGCTAAAAAAGTTATTGTACAAAAACAAAAAAAAACCTTTTTTACATGTTTCATAATTTTACACTTTTACCGTTTATTGACGATCCTAGAGATCGTTTATAATTTTGCATTGCTATCTGTCGTTTGTCTGTTGGTCTGTCCGTCGGTTCCTTTGACTGTCTGTTTTGCGCATGCACAATCCAATTTTTTCGATTGTTAAAGTATTTAAATGGAATTTTGTATGTAGGCACCTCGAAGAAAAGTAAAATTAATTCCCATTAAAAAATTGGGTTTGCACATGCGGAATATAATTTTTAGATCATTTCCACAAAAATAAAAACAAGTGCCTATGTGTTAAATTTCATTTAAATGCTTCAGAAATAAGAAAGTTGGCATTGCGCATGCGTAAAACAACATTTTGAAAATGTCATTAATTTTACTTATATTCGTAGTGTTTACATATAAATTTTCATTTAAATATCTTCAGGCGGATAGACTGACGTCAACGTCTCCGTCTGTCTGGTCAGGTGCAGTTGTGTGTTATCATACTTTTGTATTTGCGCAATCCAATTTTCTTATTTGTTAAGATATTTAAAAGAAATTTTGTTCGTAGGCACCTCGAAAAAAGGTAAAACTAATGCCAAATCAAAATATTTCTTTCGCGCATGCATAATCCGTTCCAACTAATAATACGCAAAACAATTACCTACTGCGCATGCCCAAACCCACATTAGTTATTTGTACATAACAGTGCCGTTTTTAACATAGGTGCAGTCGCAGCGTTGCACCGACGGGCCCGTGGGCCAATGAAACGATAGTCAAAATAATAAACGCAATATGCTGAGTAAGCGTATTATACGCAACATCCTCCTATTCAGTTTCATGGGAATGATTCACATGGAACATTCATTACAATTAGAACATACTGTTGCGAGTCTAGAAGGTTCGAACAGGAAATGACAACAATTTTGCGGCGTCTGTCCGTCCGTCCGTTAGCACGATAACTCATAAATGAATGGATCGATTACGATGAAATTTTGCAGGTGGATTCTTTATCAAATTTGTACATCGGAGTTCGTGAATTGGCAATGTAGACCAAAAAATAAAGTAGGCCCTTTTGACATCTCCGTTAGTTATGAACCGAATTGCATGAAATTCAATATGCGCATAGCTTTAGCCATATGAAACACAATTCCAAAAGTTGAGCCTAATCGATCAGCATTCACAGTGCCCTTTGCGCATCTCGACCATTTACAGACCGAATTGCAAACTTTCTTATTTATAAAGGTATTTAAATGAAACTTGATACATAGCCACTTGGAATAACACCAAATTTAACGCCAGTTTCAAAATTTCGTTTTGCGCATGCGCAGTGCCAACTTTCTTATTTATGGGGGGATTTAAATGAAATTTGGTACATAGCCACTTGAAATAAAAGCAAATGTAGCACAAGCAAACGTTAAAGTTTAAAAATTTATTTAAAAAAAACTATTGGGTTGATTTTTATCAACCTAATTTTGTTTGAATTGTAATTTTTTATGTGTAAGTAAATATAGTTTAATTTTTATACTGCTTACTTATTTACTCGTAGTATTCGATTTTATTTTGGAATTTTTGAAACCAAATAAAAATTATTGAAAAAAGGATATTCGATAGGCACAGATAATTTCTATTAACAATTTATTGTCTTAAAAACGGCCCTGGTACCTAAAATAATTCTTCTAAAATTTTAGGGTAGGATTCTTCTTATAAACTGAAATTGAAGTAGCACGTCAAAAATGGATTGCACATATGCAACGCTATCTTTCATATTTGTGGCCGGATTTTTACGATTTTAACAGAAGTTGCATCTTACAAATGGGAAATGATTGCAAGTGGAAATGCGCTTTTTGTTAATCGTTTACGATTGCTTTTGTAACTTGTTACGTTTAACGACAAATGTTACATAATGGATGACGGTTTACCAATGGTAATGGACTCCCATAAGCGGCCTACTAGATGATATTATTTGCTTTTCGACAGGCTCTATAGATGAACTTAAAATTTTCCATAAAAAGATCAATGCCATTTCAAACATACAGTTAACAATTGAAATGAAACACTGTAAACAAATAAACTTTTTAGACCTAACGCTAACACGACATAACCATATTATATATATCGTAAACCAACCGCTTTTATTTATATACCTTATAAATTATAATTCTTATCAGTCTCCGCATATTAAATCTTTCGGCACTTAATTTTCTGAATACTCTCCTCTCAAATGAAAACTACAAACGTGAACTAAATACAATATACCGAATAGCCAATAACAACAATTTCTCAACCAAATATGTCGATACAATCATGTCAAAAATTAAAATAAAAAAAACTTAAACCAAATAAATATCCTCTTAGCCCCCAACAAATACATCACCATCCCATTTTACCCATTCCTCCATAGCAAAATCCAAACACACTTAAACAAACGTAATAATACCCTCACAACTAAATCCCATCCAACCATCAGCAAAATACCAACAACCGAAAAAATCAATCATAGACAAATCGGGAATATATACCAAATACAATGTAATGTAAGGATTGTGATAAGAAATATACAGTGTGTCCCAAATCGCGTGGGATTGCATGGGTAATTTGCTTATATTAAAGATAGAGAATTGATTAAATGGGTAATGTTTTGCAGTTTTAGATGCTTATTTAAAATTGCCTTGTGGAAATTCAAAATGTCGCATGGGTTCGACGTAAATTCAAAAAAACTTAAAGTGGTCATTTCCCTGAATGTCTTATATCATCGAAAGTATAAGAGATATAAAAAAAAGTTTTATATAAAAGTTACTGTCTTTGTTACGCTTAATTTAGAATTGAACTCAAAAAAATTCAAGATGGCTACTTTTGAGGAACATTTACCAACTTCCTAAAATTAAATAGGCGCCATATTGGATTTTTTGATTACTTGGTAGATTTTTTAATTCTCTTTTCAACGGGCTCCATAGCATAAGATTGAAAATAAGAGATCAGTTATATCAACGGTTTTTATATTTGAACTCGTATTTTAATCAAGTAGTCTGTGATGTATTTAAAAAAAACAAAACAAAAACTATTCCAGACAACAAAAACAATGAAAATAATTACATCAGATGTTTAAAATATTTGAGGCGCACTCATTGGAGAGGGGTTTGGGCGTCACAACTCCCTCCAAAATTTTGACTTTTATGACATCACATATTGATTATCTTATTATATCCACACTTACATACCTACAAAATTGTGGTATAACTACAAACTATCCCCTCGAAAAAATGTCATGCCATTATCCCGTTAAACAAATTTCAAGACACTTCGCTTTATTTTACACAAGGTATTACCATTGATGTATTGTTCCAGGTCACATTTTGTAGGTGGTTTATCCATAAGAATATCGACCAGTTCGAGTATTATGGACAGATGAGTCTTATTTTTCTAACTGTGGAGTGTTCAAATCGACATAATGAACATTACTCGTCACAGGAAAACCTACATGTTGTAATTTCACGCCGAAATCAAGTGAGAATTTAAATTAAAGTGTTTTATGGCATAATGAGATGTCATGTAATTGGACCGGTAATCTTCGATGGAACTGCACACCATTATTTACAAATTCTCCAATAAACTTCCTTAAAGGATT